CATACACACAAACACCGTGCCGAAGTCTGCCGAACTGAAACGACGTTAGACGATGTACGGCCTTCAACGCCGCACCGCTGTGCCGGTCAGAGTTGTACTTATTGAAAAAATATATAATTCCTCTTTGTTTATCTTTTTGAATTTAAATAAACGAAGTCTCCACTGGTAGCTTGCATTTTTAAAATTAGCTGAACTTGAATGAACCTCGTTATGCGCCACTATGCATTGAATAAGTCTCTCTACCTATATGCATGGGCGAAGTTATGTCATCAGATCTGGGGGGGCTAAAGCCCTAGCCCTAGTCTTATAATATATAATAGTTCTAGAGGTATACCTACTGAAGTTAAGTAAAAAAATTCTGGCGAATCTATGAAAATGGATAAAATATCATATATCGATTCTAAACAAAGTTTTGCAAAATTTCAATATTGTGAATTTGTAGATATCCATTTATGGTAAAAAACACAATTTTACGACTTGCACTTGGAAAATAATGAACACTTCAGTTTTGATTTCGACATTAACACCATATAGATTGCAATTTGCTGGGGACTTTTTCGCAGATTTCATTTTTAACATAAACACTATCACATACTATAAGAAATAAACAAATTTAAAAAGTAAGAAAAACTCGAATTGTAATTAATACAAATTAAAATGTAAACAATGAACTCGTTGCCAAATGATGAACTGATTTTAAAACAAAATTAATAAATGAACTGAAATTAAAAAAAAAATATATATAATAAATCGGTTTTATAAAAAAGTCCTTAAATAAATATAGAGTATGATTACATATTACAATACACAAATTTTTATTCTTAAATAAAAGGTCTTATCCACTTCTTCAAGAGCTAAAATCCGACGACGTAGCGAAATTTTGCTACTTCTGGCAACACTGAACGATATCCTACTTATAGGGACCTTCTACAAATTTCCTCCAGAGGGCGTATCACTTAGCTTGAATCGCGAATAAAGATCTTTTCAATTATATCTTCTCAAGGAAGTGTAGGATTTGGAGTGGCTTCAAGTTAGGTAAATTTCCCTCTTCTATTTGATATGCTCCTAGGTATAGTGCCCTTGGATTCTGAAGTGCTACACATTTAGTTAGAATGTGAATGAAGATTTTTTCCTCCTCCTCACAAAATCTGCACTATCTTCTACTACTCTCAGTTTACTAAGGTGTAATTTTAGTTGGCAATGTCCAGTAAGGATCCCTGTTACAAGTGTTCTCACTACTAGAAAAATGTATATTATGATAACAGCTTAAAATACAATCTGGCTAATGTGGAACACCCCGAAAGCCTTGCCAGACTCGTCTAATGACCGTCAGGCGCGCTAAATTCGGCACGTTCGATTACTATTCCTCTCCTCGTTTAACTACCTGGCTTGTCAGGTCCGACCAAAATACGGTTTTATAACCGAAACAGAAACCAAATTTCGGCTCCTTTCTTAGTTTCGGCCGAAACAGAAACAAGAACTTTCTTTTAAGGCAATCTCTTATTGAAATTTGCAATATCTCATTGTAATCCTTGTTTTAGACTAATTAACTAGTATTATAAATTTTAGCTACATTTACTTATTACCTGTTTATTTATGTGATCAAAAGAAGCCATTAATAAATTTATTGACATGTTCACTTGAAACAAAGCAGAGAAGTTTGTGTGTACGTGCACTGTGTAGGAATGGCACCCGGCACAGTCGCCATTGTGCCGGACACAACCAAATGTGATACGAAAATTTTTAAAAGTAGTTTCGCTGTCGGCTGCAGTTTCGGCCAGTTTTCTGCCGAAACTATTATTTAAAGCCAAAGTTGGCCGAAACCTTAACCGAACCTTCGGTCGGACACTACTTGTGAGTCTGGCAGGCCTCCGTAATTGTAATTGTCAGCCAGACGTGTATTTTCACTTACGAATATTTTGAAATGTATCCTAAGTAGATGGATAATGTTCTTAAAATATGCGTGAGTGTGCAAAAATTTACTGATAATAATTTAGGCACGTTTGGTATTGGGTAAGAAAGTTTTGCACCAAAATATCCAAATTTCAAAACTTGACAGACATACATTAAAACGACTGAAATCAAATTTTCAAAGGTAGCCATACCACAGAATATAAAACATATGTTTTATATGCTGTGGCCATACCATGATCATTTGTCATATTTGAAATCGTTTAGTTGACGCGAAAAACCTAATTATTATTTTACATAAAATAAATGTAGTGTATTTCTACCTAGTTATAATTGGTATTAAATAAAATATTAACCACTGAAATGGCAAATTTTTTATATGCATGAAAGAGCTGCTAAACTGTCAAAAAAATTTTCAGTATAATTTCGTTCAGGGTACCCACCAAAAGAAAAATTTCCGGAAATTTTTCTGGTTGTCATGAAAGTGTTTTAAAATAACAGCAGTTGATTGGCTATAAAATGGAGGTGTAAAATTATAATTTAATCTATCACGTGACAAATTTTCAAACCCGGGAAAATAAAAGCAAAAATATTATATTTTTTCCATTTAGAAGATATTACCAGACTCATTATCCAATTTCGTAAATCAGCCAGACTTATTATTATAAACAGTTCATGATTGTATCAATTTATATGCTCAATTTTCTGCCACACTCACTTTCCACTATCTGAGATAATCCAAACTGCTATTTTTATAAGCTTTATGTTCTAGTTTAGTAAATGTAAAATAGTTATGACTGGGAAAATAAGTGTCAGACTCAAAAATTTTGTTTTTTATCACTAAGAGAACAGTTTATTTTTCATATACACCGACTGGAAAAATGAATACGAAAAAAATTCACTGCCTCCTGAACTAAATGTAAAATTGCAGAATCAATCAAATGGCACGATTCTTTTTATTTTTTAATTTCTGTTCTGAAATGTTTGGGTGGATGTGCGATAAATGTTCGAATTATTTTTGGGGGGGCTAATTTGGTTTTTGGGGGGGCTTAGCCCCCCCAAGCCCCCCCTTAACTTCGCCCATGCCTATATGACAACATTAAATTTGTATATTTAATAATTTCCAATACAAAATATATCATTCCTATAAAAGAATTACTGTATGTAGTTTGTCGACAAGGTATGTATAACTCTATAATACTAGACAAATTTTATTAATTCAGACTCAATGAATATTAGCAATGACCAAAAATGTATAACACCTAAGTACCTACCTACATAAAAAATACTTTGTAAAAAAATAAGTAAAGCATTAGATAGGGATTATTTTAACAATTTTCGGTTTTTGTAATAAAACGTTATCATTTCTTACCTCACAGCAACAAGCCTGTAAATTTTAAAAGGCATAACAGCAATTTTTCATTATTTTTAATGTAGAATAACAACAGTAAGATTGTAGTAAAAATAAAACAATAATATAATAAAAAATGTATTAAAAATAAGTGAAATAACATAATTTTATGTTTATTTATTAAAAATTAGAAAAGCGAAATAAAACTTGATTAGTGGGCTGATTTTCTATATTTTAGTTTTTAAATGGGAGTGGAACTGTTGACGTGTCTTGTTTATGTTATGCTTGGCTTTCAATACTGATACTTCAAATTAAGTAAGTTTTTTCACTAGCACATATTTATACGATACCACTCTTTTTTGAAAAATGTTTTGAATCAGATCACGTTTTCTTTTAAAGCGGGACATTCTTGCATTCTTTGGGGACAATGGTACACATAACTTGAAAGTGGGTTTGTCTTGCCTAAAGCGGGACTTATGATGTTAGATAGGTATGACTCAAAAATAAAAGTTTACTTCAGGTTGATTTTCATTTTTATCTCTTCCTCCTTTTTCGATTCAGTTAGTTTTTAACTGGTTTGAGACACATGCCTCAAGTTCTGGGCTGGACTCCAGTTTAAATGATTACTAACTTCGAAGGAACTCTGTTTCCCTAAAAATAAGAAAGTCATACTTGATGTCTCTATTATTATACACTTTTATGTATCCTTGATATATGTAAAAAGATCACTTTTTGAGATGTATGTTATTAGTATCATGATTTCCTTTACTTTATTTTATTGGTGCAGACCAGACAGTTGATTAAACACAATACACAATAAATAGCATTCTCATTCTGCTCTTCAAAGTATGATCTAGTTACAGTATGTTTTTATTTGTGTGTCAAAAAAATGTATTTTACCTGTAATAAAATGACTATTACAATTTCTTTGATTAGTCTAAGTATGTAGAATTCAAGATCCATAGAGGCAATAAAAACATCATGACTTTACAACCCAAAATAATACAAGTTGTAGGTTTTTCGCCGTAAAATTGTCAAAACCACTTTCAGAAGGGTACTTATATAAACTCTAATTCACTGTACAAATCAATTCAACTCAATTTTTTTTAAAAAATACTAAAGTAAACAATTCACATAACCTTCTTTGTGCCAACCAAATGTCATTCCATTTTTTGACAGATTTGAGGTTGGGAAAACAAATCGTAAACAAAAATGATCGTTCAGCGTCATTCCAATCGCTTATGAAACATGTTTCTTTGCTTTTAAAACATGTTTGACGACGATGAACACGGCCAATATTACTTAACTTCTAGTTCTTGTATTGCATAAACGTTCCAGTCCGCAGACGTATATTTAACTCCGCTTCATACTAATACGAAACGAATAGGGTCGGATAAAACCTTCCATGGCTATAACGCCGTACCGCTGTGTCGGTCGGAGTGGGAGGTGTTAGGTTTTTTTCGTTACGGTGTTACGAAATTTCTTGATTCGGTCGCCACTCAAAGCCCGCGATAAAAGCTATGCAATAGCTTAATTATGCTGAAAAAAAAATAAATAATACAATATAATAAAGCGACGCCTATCTTAGATTTGTTGAAATAAGAAAATACAGAAATAACAAATGTATAGATTTCCTAATTCTCTATAGTATGGGCTTTGACGTTTAGATGGAGCCACTCATAAAATTTCGATATTTTAAAAGTCGTGTAATAACGTACTAGTGTAACTTTGAATTTTTAGTAATAGATTTGTTACAATTGTAATAGCATCGGCAACACTGTCTAAGGGACAGATGCCTGTTTTGTAAACTAAAATTTTGACATATGACAATGACGTGTCAAATTGTCAAAACGACAAAGATATAAGTAAGGTTAGCTCTTTATTTGGGTCAAAAAAGTGGAATTTTGTATGAACTTACTAGAGATTCTTGCAAAAATGCCAAAATCTTAGACACTTACATCCATACAATCAGATATGTACGCGATTTGAAGCATGTTTTCAAACCATACTTTCTACAGTTCTATTTTTAAAACTTAACCAACCCCAATATTTAACAGATGTGATATCCGTCGACTTTTCAGAAGAAGACCATGGACAAAGAGAAAGACGATAGAAAATTCACGTGGTCCGAGCTGAAAGGGGTCGTTAGCGATCTCAGAAGACAATTGTCCAGTTTATCCACCATGGTACCATCTTCAATAACGTTCAGAACGCTTCCAGATGGTCGTACGAGAATATACTTCCTGAGTACCCCTCAGAACGGGTGGGAAACAACACTGCTCTTCGCTGATATACCTAATACCAATCAACCTACTAGCTTAAGACTATTGTGGCAGTGTGTGATAGAAAGTAATTTTCCTAGTATATCATCTTCAAACAAGTTTTCTAGGGAAGAACAATTGTTGTGGGAAAGAAAGAGGATGACTACGTGGGGTATTAATTCGTATGAAATCCATAGCGACTCGGGGAAAATTGTTTTTCCTGCAGCAAGTAGTTTGTTTCAGTGCATAGATAATGGCTATACGGTAAGTGATAATATGGACAATTATTTATATACAAAATACCTACCTGAATAATGTTTTTATTCGCACCCTTTTGTTTATATAAATAAAAAACGACACCTATCTGCTAATGAAAATCAAAAAATAAACTTTGAAAACTCAAAAAGTTAAAAATGAAAATTGAGAAGAAGTAATTATGGCCAAGGATGCATAAATTTAATATGACAAATTTATCAACAATTTATTAGAGTTCTGTATTCTCTGAAGTTTTGAAGACCAGTTTTCTGGTTCCAGTATTAAAGGGTGTAGACGAACTTGATATCAAAAACTATAGAGCACTTTGCAATCAGTCTGCTATATCAAAAGTGTTTGATAAACTTATTTACAATGATTTGTTGTGGCAATATGGGTTCTTAGGGGGAAAGTTCACAACTAAGTACTAACTTGGTTTCGAATGAAGTTACTCTGTTGGGTATTGGGTACCTTGGAGAGTGGTAAACAAGTTGATGCTGTCTATATCAAATTCTGCAAGATGTTTGACAGAGTGAATTATGAGATATCTACTCTTAATAAAATTGGGGGGCAACTCGTTTATATGATAATTTGGTAGTGTGGCTACTTAGTTTTTTAGTTTCAAATGGTAAAAATCAATAATTTTTTTCAAAATAAATAGCAGTTCTTTCTGGTGTCCAACAAGTTACACATTGTTCACCTTTGCTCTTTAATTTATTTATTAACCCTTTAAGGGTCTTTATCTTTGTCGATTATAAGCAGATAGGGTTATTTTTTGGCCCAGAACAAAGCGGTGCTAAGGTCTGTTGTATTCTCCTGCTTTCTCCATATTTAGGTACTATCTTTGGAATAGTCCTGTGCCTTTGGTTAGTTTTACTAAGTTCACTACCAAGTGTTCCTGGAGCGTTCATCAAAATTTCTTTATATCAGTTTATTCACCATAAAAGAACATTTACATAGTGAAAGCCACTTATCAGGCTAGTCAAGTTTAAACAATATTAAAATTGTTAAAAACAATTATCTTAAAAAACACTTAATTATATACATAACACTACTTATATTATTAAAAGAAACATACAATTTAAAATTTAGAAAATGACCTGGTTAATAGATTATGATACCTTCCAAGATACCTTCATTGTGTAGTTCAAGAATTGAGGAACTCATCAATATTGTAAAATGTGTTATTGTAGAGGAAGTTAATAATTTTATTCTTTATGCTGTTTCTTGGGCCGACTAAGTCAATAAGTGTTTTCATTTTATTGATACATTTAACCCCTATATAATTGGGAGAATTCTAACTCACTCAGTCTTGAGAGAATGTCATCATTATGGCAGGTATTATATGAGTAAATTTCATTGTTTAAGGTGAACTGGTTCTTATTATCATAGATACACAGTATTAATTCTAAAATATATAGAGTGCACTGTTAGAATTTCATATTTCTTAAATAGATTTCCGCAGCTTGCTAATGGGTCATACATCTTACAGTTTTCTTCTGCATGATGAATGCTCTATCTATATGTGAGGAGGAATTCTACACCAACAAGCGCTACTGTAACTGAGATTGTACCAGTCTGAAATATAATATTCACATGATGTTAATGGAAACTTTATTCCTAAGACTTCTCAAAATAAAGCAGGTGCTACTCAGCTTTGTGGCATTAGCTTAGAATCAAGAGTTACACCTAGAAATTTCATTGACTTTCCTAAAAGTTTAACTAGTAAATCTTCTTCAGGAGTAATATTTTTAGGTAGAAACCTCATACATAAAGTTTTCTCGCAATTTAGCTGAATGCCATTTTCCTCACAATATCCCTCAAATTCCATTGTGAAGTTACTTCCATTTTCTACTAGGGTACTGACACATTTCTCAGACAGTATCATATTGGTATCATCCGCCTAAAAAACAGCTTTATCTGATGTTTCACAAGTGTTTGAACTGTCATTCATAAAAATTATAAATAATATTGGCCCAAGCAATGTGCCTTGGGGAATGCCTAATGCATTACTCTTCCATTCAGATGAAGCCCCATCAAATGCTGTTGTCTGACACCGATCCGCCAAATATACTACCCAGTCATGTGGTTTTCCTCTTATTCCTATACCTTCGAGTTTTTTTAATAGTAAGCTGTGGTCTATTGAGTCAAAGGTCCGAGTAAGGTCATAAAAAATACCTATAATATGCTTCATATAGGTATATAGTTGAAATATTATATTCCTATTAACAAAGATAGATAACATAATAATATTAAAAAGTTAAAAATGTAAAAATTTAAAGAAAAAGAAACATAAAATTTTCATAAATGAAATTTTTTGTTTGTTTTAAAATTCTAATGTTGAGATATAAAATATAAAGAACAAAAATGCTTATGCACAACACCAAGTACAAATATGACAATCGCAAAATATATACAGTATGTCCCTCTAAGTTGGAATCATATGGAAAACTTTTTTTATTATTAATTTTAGGAAAAAAAGTTATTCGTGATAAAAAATCCTACATGATCCAAAACTTAAAATACAGTCATCAGATATCAAATTTTTCAATATGAAGAGTAAAATACGTTTATTTTTGACAAAATCGAAAATTTTCATTGAGAAAATTGCTAAATTCTTCACAAACATCAAGAAAACGAAAACCGTATCATGTTTATAGTAGAGAAGAGAGAGAAAAAAAATTATGGATTACCGTAATTAGGTGGATCAATGCAAAATCTAGAAAAAATCTGATTTTTCGGATAGATCGGTGTACTTAATTACATATTTGAATGTAATTTTCAATTCTAATCAACTTTTCTTAATTAAAATTTTCGATTTTGTCAAAAATAAACATACTTTACTGTTGAGCAAAATTCATATTTTTTGACAAACCTCGTATCGGCTTGAAAAATTTAATATCTGATGACTGTATTCTATGTTTTAGATAATGCAGAACTTTTTATGAAGAATAACTTTTTTTCCTAAAATTAATAATAAAAAAGTTTTCCATATGATTCCAACTTAGAGGGACATACTGTATAATACACATAAATTAAAATGAATTACTCAATTCAACCGATCACAGAAAAATTCATTCAATTTGTAGTAGGCCACCTTGAATTTCCATCAGTCACTCACTTTTCTGTCAGTACCTAGTGTGTTTTTTCTTACTGACTCATCCCCTGTAAATTTTTCGAATGTGCCTTAAATGTAAGACAACGGTTCAGAGACCAACTCAAACAGGAGATAGATATATCCGTCTACCGTCGGTAAGCTCAAATTAAGCCTGCCTGATATATCAGTCAGCTGTCCTTAAAAGGTTAATGATATAACATCAACCATTAAACACTCTTCTTCCCTTATGTTCGCTGATGATATGAAACTTTTAAAACTGTGGTGAAAATTATGCTTCTATGATATCAAGTACAATCAGATTGAAACAATTTAGTAAATTGGTGTCATAGGAACGTTCTTTAAATACTAATACAGGTTCATTTATAAACTTCTGTAAACGAATCCCTAAGACTCTCTCTGCACAATGAGGAACTGGGTAGAATTCAAATAATTAAGGATTCCTCTCTCTCATGAATAGCAATAGACCAATATTTTTGCAAAAATATTTGAACAAGCTGTCAAAAATAGATTAATAAAATATCTGGATAAAAATAAAATTTCTGTTGAAAATTCGGTTGAAAATTCAATTTGGAGTGATACAAAAATCTAGTACTCACGAAGCAACATTAAACTTACTTGAACCTATAATCAGAGCCTTGGACAAATCAAGTAAATGCCTAGTAGTTTTCCTTGATCTGGCAAAGCCTTCTCATTTTGGATTTGTAATTGGATTTTCTTAGACATTATTTAACAAATAAACCCCAAAAAGTAAAAATATATCCCTATATATCATTGTTAGGTGATTTTTAAATAAATTTACTGAGTTAAACGCAAACATATACAGTAAAATGTAACTTGGAAGCAAAATAATCTTGACTTAACTAAACATTTTCTCAAAGAACTAAGAAAAAAATTAGTCCAATCAAACAGAGATGCAGAGGTATTAAAAAGGTTTATGTATTTAAATACTCAAATTCAGTTTAAAAATAATAATTATTTTATGATATCTTAGAAAAATGGTTTGAAAGTCAATCTTAAGCTATCTTTTAAAGTTTTATGTTATTTTGTTGACTTTTACTAAATGTATTTGGATAATTCAAATAAATATGTACCTATATAGAACATTCTACAAAATAAACACAAAATACCTATAACATTGAAATTAACACAAATTCAATTTGTATTTGTGTCCCTAGTATTTTGGAATTTCGGATATTTTTTTAATTATGTAAAAAACCATACCATTAAGATATTTTTTTACAAAAGTTTTGAAAACAGACATCATAACATCACAATGAGCAGTTATATAGCAAGAGCTCATTGACATATTATGTCTGGCTGGCTTAAATTTAATCTACTCTTTTTCTTGTTATTTACTAAATTATCAAATAAAAAAATTAATATAGGTACAAACAAGGTTTCTATCTCCACTATAATTGTTTATTAAAATATCATTTTATAAACAACTTGTTTTGTGAATGTGTTGACTCATTCTAAAAATAGTAGGTACTAAGTATACAAATTATCATCAAGAAAGTTTTTTTTGTTCATGGATAGGTTGAATGCAGGTTGTCCCAAATAAATTCCTGGACAAATAGATTTTTGCAAAATCCTACTAATATATAAATGCGAAAGTTTGGATGGATGGATGGATGGATGGATGGATGGATGGATGGATGGATGGATGGATGGATGGATGGATGGATGGATGGATGGATGGATGGATGGATGGATGGATGGATGGATGGATGGATGGATGGATGGATGGATGGATGGATGGATGGATGGATGGATGGATGGATGGATGGATGGATGGATGGATGGATGGATGGATGGATGGATGGATGGATGGATGGATGGATGGATGGATGGATGGATGGATGGATGGATGGATGGATGGATGGATGGATGGATGGATGGATGGATGGATGGATGGATGGATGGATGGATGGATGGATGGATGGATGGATGGATGGATGGATGGATGGATGGATGGATGGATGGATGGATGGATGGATGGATGGATGGATGGATGGATGGATGGATGGATGGATGGATGGATGGATGGATGGATGGATGGATGGACTGAAGGACGGACGGACGGACGGACAGACAGACGGATGGAGGGACGGACGGATCGATCGATCGAAGTTTGTTGCTCAATAACGTCAAAACGGCTGAACGGATCTGGATGAAATTTGGCACAAACATGTAGGGTTCCCGAGGGATAGATTTTATTTTGTTGTTCACAGAGCTAGGGATCAGATTTGTATGGAAGTATCGATTTTTTTAAAGGTAGGAACTTGAAAATTTAAATTATAGCTTCTCATCAAAAATAAATAAAGGCGTATTTCAGGGTGTTTGAATTTTCATGTTTTTAGAGAAGAAAGGAGGAAAAGGGAGAAAAGGAGGGGTGAAAGTTTGTATGGAGTTATCGATTGTTTAAAGATAGGAACTTAAAAATTGACATTGTAAATAGATATGTTTTAGGGTATTTGGATTTTTACATATTAAAGGGGAAAACGGGAGGTGAAAGTTTGTATGAGACTTTCGGTTTTTTAAAGGTAGGAACTAAAAAATTGAAATTGTAGTTAGTCATCCTAAGTAAATAATGACGTATTTCAAGTTTTTGGATTTTTACATTTTAAAGGAGCTGGGTTAATGGGAAGTTTCGTTAAAATAAATAAATAAAAATAAATTAAAATAAATAAAAATTATTAAAAATTAATTAACAATACTAAAAATAATTAAAAAATAAAAAAAATATTAAAAATTAATAAAAAATAAAAATTAATAAAAATGAATAAAAATTAATAAAAATTAATAAAAATTAATAAAAATTAATAAAAATTAATAAAAATTAATAAAAATTAATAAAAATTAATAAAAATTAATAAAAATTAATAAAAAATAATAAAAATTAATAAAAATTAATAAAAATTAATAAAAATAAATAAAAATTAATAAAAATTAATAAAAATTAATAAAAATTAATAAAAATTAATAAAAATTAATAAAAATTAATAAAAATTAATAAAAATTAATAAAAATTAATAAAAATTAATAAAAATTAATAAAAATTAATAAAAATTAATAAAAATTAATAAAAATTAATAAAAATTAATAAAAATTAATAAAAATTAATAAAAATTAATAAAAATTAATAAAAATTAATAAAAATTAATAAAAATTAATAAAAATTAATAAAAATTAATAAAAATTAATAAAAATTAATAAAAATTAATAAAAATTAATAAAAATTAATAAAAATTAATAAAAATTAATAAAAATTAATAAAAAATAATAAAAATTAATAAAAATTAATAAAAATTAATAAAAATTAATAAAAATTAATAAAAATTAATAAAAATTAATAAAAATTAATAAAAATTAATAAAAATTAATAAAAATTAATAAAAATTAATAAAAATTAATAAAAATTAATAAAAATTAATAAAAATTAATAAAAATTAATAAAAATTAATAAAAATTAATAAAAATTAATAAAAATTAATAAAAATTAATAAAAATTAATAAAAATTAATAAAAATTAATAAAAATTAATAAAAATTAATAAAAATTAATAAAAATTAATAAAAATTAATAAAAATTAATAAAAATTAATAAAAATTAATAAAAATTAATAAAAATTAATAAAAATTAATAAAAATTAATAAAAATTAATAAAAATTAATAAAAATTAATAAAAATTAATAAAAATTAATGAAAATTAATAAAAATTAATAAAAATTAATAAAAATTAATAAAAATTAATAAAAATTAATAAAAATTAATAAAAATTAATAAAAATTAATAAAAATTAATAAAAATTAATAAAAATTAATAAAAATTAATAAAAATTAATAAAAATTAATAAAAATTAATAAAAATTAATAAAAATTAATAAAAATTAATAAAAATTAATTAATAAAAATTAATAAAAATTAATACAAATTAATAAAAATAATAAAAATTAACAAAAATAATAAAAATTAATAAAAATTAATAAAAATTAATAAAAATTAATAAAAATTAATAAAAAGTAAATTAATAGAAATTAATAAAAATGAATAAAAATTAATAAAAAGTAATAAAAAATAATAAAAAATAATAAAAATTAATAAAAATTAATAAAAATTAATAAAAATTAATAAAAATTAATAAAAATTAATAAAAATTAATAAAAATTAATAAAAATTCATAAAAATTAATAAAAATTAATAAAAATTAATAAAAATTAATAAAAATTAATAAAAATTAATAAAAATTAATAAAAATTAATAAAAATTAATAAAAATTAATAACAATTAATAAAAATTAATAAAAATTAATAAAAATTAATAAAAATTAATAAAAATTAATAAAAATTAATAAAAATTAATAAAAATTAATAAAAATTAATAAAAATTAATAAAAATTAATAAAAATTAATAAAAATTAATAACAATTAATAACAATTAATAAAAATAAAATTATCACTGTCACATGGAAACAGTCCGTTAAATAAAATTAATGAAAATGAATGTATAAATCAATTTAAATTTAAAATATTACTAATAGTAATAATTATGATTTAGCAAGTTGTGAATCTCCAGAAACATTTAATTTTGGAGAGATGATGACTAAGAACTTGGTGAATATGCTTGTTTGTGGACAATAAGCACTGATGATGGCACCATGCCAAAAGCGCTTTGCATTTATTAATTTAAAACATTTTGCATGAAATACAAGTATTTCCTTTTGTATTTTAAAAGAGACCATAAACACTAAAAACAAACCCCAGATTCCATCTATTTATCAAAAAGTAATTTTAAATTACAGAACGTTTTCTAACATGTAATTATAAGCAGTTGTCTTTAGCCAAATCTATAAGCTTATTTAAGAGCAAACAATAGTGAATCATCACATACCCACGATTTTTTTCCATTGCACACTCTGCCAGAATTTGTGGGTAGAATTCGATAAGGAAAATATCCTCTGGTAACTCTGTAAGGTCGGTCGAAAGCGGTCGAAAGTAATATTACATTGTTAACAAAATTACGCCTGGGACCTATTTTCAAACTATGTGAGTACTCATTCCTCTCAATATTTTCACGAGAAATGTCAACGTGTAAACATTGCGTATTTATCTAATTTTATTTTGAGAGAATTAAAATTCTCCTACTAATTTTAATCCACACCGGAATTAAAGTTTCCACGTTGATATATGAAATTTCTTGTGAAAATCTCGAGGGAATTCATTTCTCTCAAATTTAAAAATAGCCCCCATGTCTTTTGTCTGGTCAGGTATATAGTATAAATAATAAAAATACTAGAAAGGGATTTTCGTTTTTCAGTTGTTAGTTCAGACATTTTTTATAAAAAAACCTCTAAAATTGTCAGTTTTAGTTTTACTTGATCATATTTTGAAAATTAATAGTTAAAACTATCGATTTAATTTTTTGTAAAGAAGTAAGTCATTGCTATTAATGATTTATTAATTGCCAATAATTATTTACATGTTTACCTGTTTATTTACATAATTAATAAATAATTATGTCCCGAGAATTATATAGAAATTTTTGTATATCTACATAAAAAAAATTATTGCAAAATTTAGAAAAATTAGATAGTTCCTAGACTAAGATTATAGGATTTGCTTCTGTTAATTTCTAGCACAGATAGGTTGATTCAAAAGTACCCTAATTACACTCTTTTTTGAATTAAGAATTTTCTATGCCCAAAGTTAATAGTAAAAAAGTTAATTCTGAAAATATTTTAATTTTGTATGAATGGATAGATAGGTAGATGATATAAATAAATAAATAAATAAACAAATAAAAACGTTATATTCATAATTATCTAATAGAAGACTTTCTTTCAAAAACAACACATGTCCAAAATGCCCAAATTGAGTTAACTAATCAATGGCCAATTGTTGTATTTATCAGTACAAATGGTGATTTCTTAGAAACCTAACACATAAACAGAGATATGCAATGTACAATATAGAGCATTTGGTAAGATCTATTAGGACATAATGTTTTTTGCGTTTCCTGAAAATAGCTGATTTTGGACATGTGTCGTTTTTGTAAAAATGCCTTCAATTATTGTTTTCCGTTTACCTAGAATGGCCAATTATTTCCAACAAAACTGCGCATGACCGCATCCGGAGCGAAGATTAATTCCCAAATATGCCCTTCGAATCCAGACTTGGTAGCTTATATTTGTAACCACGACATTTGGGTGACGCATACTGTCTCAGGCTCAAATGTCAGATTGACGTTTGCGCATAAGGGTGGCCGAAATTTGGCGGACGATCCTCTTTGCGCCGGAGTACCTTCGTACGTCATGCAAGAGGAGTTTTCCAGGTACCAGGGATACTGGTGGCAACCAACGTGTACTGGTAAGTTTTCTGGTAGCTTAAAATAAGTAAATAAAGCTTAATTACGTATCAAGGTGGAGTATACAGGGTTCTGTATGAAGAAGTCGATGAAGGAGACGTGAAAGTTTTTTGCTTTCCTTCTTCGCAGTCGGATTCCGGGGAAGTGGAAGAATTTAGGTTTCCCAGGGCGGGGTGCGCAAATTCTAAGTCATACTTGAAGATGATCGAGTTTAAAGTCAACGAGCATCTTCAAATCGTCGACGTGTGCATGCTGGAGTTGCAATTTTCGCTGTCTCTGCTGTTCCCGTGGATGGAATACGTAGTCAGGGCTGGATGGACGCCTAATTCAGAATAGTAAGTTTGTGCACATAAAAACCAATTATTTTCAAATCATCTTAATGTATACAGTTAATTTTGAAACATCATTTGTCGGTAAAATTGGCTAATTAACTTTTTAACATCATTGTTTAGAATTCTAGGAGTCAAAACATTTTTGTATTTTAAAAACATCAGAAAATATTTATTTTTATAACACCATTACATCGTTTTTAGTATTTTATAAACGTCAGAAAAATTATTTTTTAATTTTATGAACGTTTAAACATCGTTTTTTAGTATATTATAAACGTCAGAAAAATATTTTTTTTAAACGCTAAAACATCGTTTTTATAATTATGTTGACTTCAAAATATCGTTTTTATAATTATAGGAAATGTGAAAACATCGTTTGTAGCATTTTAGAAACTTTAAAAAAATTATAAACGCCATATCATTGTTTATAGTATTTTATAATATTATTAAAAACGAAAAATTCTTTTCATATTATCAAAACGTAGTTTTTCGAACTTTATAAACGCCAAAACGTCATAATAACACTAAAACGTCGATTTGAATATTTTAGAAACGTCAACATTTTTTATTTATTTTTTTAACGCCGTAACATCTTTTTTAGTATTTTATAAACGTCATAAAAATAGTTTTCGTTGCCGTTACATTGTTTTTAGTATTTTATAAACGTAAAAAAAAATCCTTTGCTTTTATAATGATATATTAAATCGTAGTTTTTAGAATTATATGAATAGTATTTAATAAACGTCAAAATATGGTTTTTAGTACTTTATAAAAGGCAAAACACGGTTATTAAAGTTTTATAAACGTGAAAAATTGTATCCTCTTTCTAGTATATGGGTTCAACTTTTGGACAGGCGACAACAAAGATTAGAATTAGTATTACTATCTCTTAGCAATTTTACCGAAGTTCTTCCGATGTACGAAGATTCTACAATAGTGCACCACAGTAGTCCCGTGGTACAAGTCATTTACTCGCAAGAATCCAACATTTGGGTCAATGTACACGATTTGCTGCATTTTTTGCCATTGACTGACAATAACGAGGTGAGTTTATAATGTTTTATCATACCATATCCTTCTTCGTCGTACATATTTCTTGTAGACAGTCTTGAGGTATTTTGTAATTTTTTCTCATCGTTTTCGACGATTCTTCAGCATGCAGATTTCTTACAGATATTCTCCATTTTTCAACATCTCAGCACTCAACCATTTTTCAGCTATACTTCAGCCATAATTCAGTCATAATTCAGTCATAATTCAGTCATAATTCAGTCATAATTCAGTCATAATTCAGTCATAATTCAATCATAATTCAGTCATAATTCAGTCATAATTCAGTCATAATTCAGTCATAATTCAGTCATAATTCAGTCATAATTCAGTCATAATTCAGTCATAATTCAGTCATAATTCAGTCATAATTCAGTCATAATTCAGTCATAATTCAGTCATAATTCAGTCATAATTCAGTCATAATTCAGTCATAATTCAGTCATAATTCAGTCATAATTCAGTCATACTTCAGTCATAATTCAGTCGTACTTCAGCTATACTTCTTATAGATAATCTTCAATGTCTCTCACCATTTCCAACCCTATTGATATTAAATTACGCTATTATCAAACAGGTGCAGTTTATCTGGGCCTCGGAGGAAAGCGGTTTCCGCCATCTTTATTTGATCTCTGCGCAAATAATGCCCTACACGAACGGTATAGCGGAAACCACCGAGACCATGGACTACGTTTTCCTGCAACCGAAAATATTGTCGAAGGTCGCGTTGACACAAGGAGATTGGGAGGCGTTGGGACAGAATTTATGGGTCGACAACGATAGACAACTGGTGTATTTCATGGGTTTGAAGGAGACGCCGTTGGAGAAACATTTGTACGTGGTGTCGTTGAGAAGGCCCGGAGAAGTGCGACTGTTAACCAGACCTGGGTTTTCGTATGCAGTCGATTTCAGCAAAGTAAGTTTTGAAAATTTCAAAGTCAATAAAGATATCGATTATGTCGTTCCTTCAGGACTGCTCCATGATCGTAACGGTATACAGTAACATCCAAAAACCGCCGGCATGTCAGGTTTTTCGAATAGTGCACGCCGATTGGACGGTCGAGGGCGTGACGTTGACTCCATTGGGCTATTTGATGGAATCAATACCTCTAGTCAACGAGTGTTACTCCCCTGAACTATACACGCACGAGATCAGTTCCGGGCATGTGCTCTACGCCATGGTATTCAAGCCGCACAATTTCGAGTTCGGTAAGAAATATCCTACCGTGTTGAACGTATACGGCGGACCCGAGGTGCAGTTGGTGTCCAACACTTTTAAGGTAAGTTCAAAATTTTAATCAGTTTCGGTAAAAACAATTTACATAGATTTTAAAACGTTTGTAATGTAAAAAACCGTTTGGAATACTCTTTCTGGCGGAACTACAATTTATAAGTTTTAAAACTGGAAGGCATTTGTTGGATACCCGGTATATACTCTTCTAATAAAAATAGTAATGGAGATTTGATATAATTCGAAAACGACTTTATTAAAAATATAACATTGATAATTAATAATCTTTATGACATTAATAAAAAATAATTATATCTGTGTAGAAGACTATAGAATAGACCTAGGTATAAACCATTAGTATCTTCATTTTCTACACCAGGGGTTACTGCGTAGTAGTTATAGATTTGAAAGTTACATCAAAAGACATCAGAAAAATTATCTTTTTATTTTTTTTATAAACGTCAAATCGTTTTTAGGATTTTATAAACCTTAAAAAAATCCTTTTCTAAATTCTGTTGTAAACGTTAAAAATCATCGTTTTTAGTATTTTATAAACGTCTGATTTTTTTTTTATTTTGTTATAGACGTAAAAATATCATTTTTAGAATTCTAGGATCCTCAAAACATCGTTAAACGTTGGAACGTATATTTACGACAAACATCGTTTTTAGTATTTTAGAATCGTCAGAAAAATCCTTATACATTTTTTATATAAACGTCAATACATCGTTTTTTTTTTGTTTTATGAACGTTAGAAATCCTTTTCTAAATTCTGTTGTAAACGTCAAAAATCTTTTTTAGAATTTTATGATGTCATTGTGTTTAGTATTTTATAAACGTCTGAAATTTTTTTTTTAATTTTGTTATAGACGTGAAAATATCATTTTTAGAATTCTGGGATCCTCAAAACATCGGTTTTAGTATTTTTTTAAAAAAAAATTATAAACCTTGAAACGTTTTAAAAATATATTTACTACAAACATCGTTTTTAGTATTTTAGAAACGTCAGAAAAATCCTTATACATTTTTTATATAAACGTCAAAACATCGTTTTAGTACTTTATAAATATTAAAATATATTTTTAAATTTTTTTTTATAAACTTTAATACTTCATATTTTTTTGTTTTATGAACGTTTGAATTTTTTTAGTTTTATTGTAAACGTCAAAACATTCTTTTTAGAATTTTATGTACTTCATCGGTTTTAGTATTTTCTAAACCTCAGAAAAATCCTTTTTTTAATAATAATTTTATTATAAACGCACAGACGTTCAAAAAATGTATGAACGTTAATTAGTTCAGTAACCGAAGACCTGAAAATATGCAAAGCTGTCATTAAGTCGGTCCAGATTTCCTTTGTGGCTCAATTCTTAGGTCTTGACGGTTGCTTTCAAGGGCGAAAACTTTTACCAACACTGTTGGGTCGGAAAGGGCTCAAAATGGCCCCTAAAATCCGAAAAAATGGTTTCCCGCTAATATCTGCCAAAATTTACAAATAAGACAATTTTTGTTTAGATAAAAAATGAAGATCGTATCATCTAAAAAAATGGCCCCTACCATTTTTATCAAAAGACGAATATTTTTTGCAAAAACGGCCTTCGAAAAAGCCCGAATTTTTGCACTGAATAGAAATGTTAGTTTCTCATTGAATTTCCGCTCGAGGGAGTTGGGAATACATTGATTTTCATGTTTTGGACTTTGGAGACCAATTGTAGATGGCGCCAGCGGCATACCTCTGCTCACTAAATTATGGGGCCTATGAATGAAAATCCGGGCACCAATCGATCTTTCGACAATTATTGGCGGATTCTACGGGATTTTTTCTGTAAAGTAGCGCTTGGGGGGTCTCATCTATATTGCCGAATGTTCTGTGTAATTTGCGTTACAAAATTTAATAGAAAAGTGCAAAAAAAATTTTTGGCATTCTCAAATCCCGGCGCTTTGCCTAATAGTGAGTCATTAGTTTTAGAGTGTGATGAATATTGACCCGAGAAGACCCTTTATATGTTCTGCGTCTTTTGCAAAATTTTCGTCAACTTCTATCGGAACAATATAGGTCCAGGGTTTCAGAAAAATAAAGTTTCTGAAAAATTTCTTTTATTATGAAAAACATGTTGAAAATACGAAATACATAGCAATGCTTATAATTTATCATACGTTAAACCATTCAATGTCATCAGAATCATACTTTTCATCGTCTTGCTCTTGCCCTATTCCTTCCCCTCCTCCCTGCGTCCCTTCTCCCTGTTTTTCCAACCCTGTGTTGCTGTCTCGACAGCCATTTCATCCTCCTCCCCTTCAACCCCTTCTAGGTCTCGATCGAGGGGCAAATCACTCTTTGTAAAAATGTACATGTATTGCGGAATTCATATGATTTCCGCAATCATATGGCGATTTCTGGATGACTGCGGCGATTTCTGGATGACTGCGGTGATTTCCACATGACTTCCGACATATTTCCCGTGACTGCGGTGATTTATGTATTGACTGCAACGATTTCTCTATTGATTGCGGCAATTTCCCTATTGATTGCGGCGATTTACTCGTACGTATGGATTGTAAGTATTATTGCAAAATTGCACGCATTCCGAAGGATTTCTACGATATTGTATGGCTTACCAGTTGGTTTCCAGTAAAAAAAGCATTAGCTAGGTGTTTCATCAGAAAAACTAAATTTTGTATAGCGCATGTATAGGTGCTAAATACAATGCATTGATTTAAAACTAAGTACGTACGACAAATTTATCAATAAATCAACTTTTTGTACGTTTTTTATTCATTTAAAAGATCAGTTTTAATTGATGTGATACCCGAAATATAAACTTCTATGTAGGTACTTACATGCCTCCATTATTAGATATCTTTGATATGCCTAAATGAACAAATAGGTACAGGTAAATAAAACAAGTTAAGTAATTGGAGGTTTTTTATTTAAAAATTTCATAAAAGTGTTTTTTTTAGACGTTTACAAATTTTATTGATGTTTGTTTCTAGTTTAAATGGACCAGATCCAATTGAATTGATGGGTCCGTAAAATATTAATTTATTTTTAACAATTTGAATGTCGTCTTTTTTTGGCCATAAATATTCTTCAAGTTCAGATTTAAAATTTTTTATTTTACTAGTGGTTTCATCAATTATTTGAACAATGCGACCTATGTACCACGACTCGTAAAGAATTGCGTAATATTGTTCGTTCCTAATTAAAATGCCATTGATATTTTTCTGGAGCAAAGTGTTTTCACCGGTAGTTTTTTCACTTTCTGTTACATCTTTGTCATTGTAGTTATTTGGTATTTTAGCTGTGTTTTTTCTGGACTTGCTTTTTTTTTGTTATTTAGTACTGCTGAGGATGTTCCTTTTACACGAGATAATCTGTCAGTTGAGAAGCGCCCGTCTTCAGTGGAAAATAACCAACAAAGAGCTGATTTTTTTACCTTCATTTTTTTGTTGTTCACAATTATGTTTAAAAATGAGGTATCAGAATCACTTTTTGTCTAGTAATTTCGAAAATCCTTTATATTAAGATCTTCCAATCCATAAAAAATGTTCTTTTCATTATCTACATCATATATGGAAACTTAAGTTTAAAATTTAATGTTTTTTACTTTATCCGTTTTTGATTTTTCTTTAAAATTCGAAATTTACATTTTCTTAAATATCTCGAATACGGTCCATTTTAGAGAAATTATGTATAGGGCAAATCCCTTTTACACTTAATTTCATTAATTTTTCTGGTAATTTACACTCACTTTGTAAAGCAAATCTTCTAGAAGTGCCGCTAAAAGCTCTCTATTTTATGTTTGTTTTAACCTAAAAAAAAAGAATAACATTAGTAGAAATAATTATATGATAGATATAGCAACAAAAGACTTACCTCAACCCCAAATCTTCGATATATATTTAACTCATTTGTGTTAAATATAGAAAAGAAAAGTAATCATTGTTTATTATTGTTCTATTCGAACCCAGAATTGTGAATTTTCTTTAAATAAACGAAAGAAATATATAACAACCGACAATAACGACTCCAAAAACAACAGAGATTGTATACCAACAAAAGCAGACGATTAAGGTGAGCGCGTGGGTACACGTGGTTAGGTTATGATGGAATATCATAGATCTCAGACGGAGAGCCTAAAAATGGGGGAGATAATTCTAATAAACAGTTAAGAACCACGCTCACATACGGGATCAATACACCTTTCCCCTTATTCGATCATTTCGCATTACTCATGCGCGAAAAAGTGCGGGTCTTTTGAATCTAGTAATTTTTGAAGCAACTTATTTTCTCTCTCTCTCTTATCCTCCCCTATAGGGAATTATTGTTGTGTTGGCTACAACGGTTGTCCCCTCCATGGTTGTCCCTGTCTGTCATCGTTCCAATAACAATAACAGTGTTAGTGTATATTTTTGTTTAGTTTCATAGGAGTTTATAGAAAATATTTTTTGATTTTATAATCCCAAGACAATGCGTTGTTGTGTACCCACTTGTCCAAATTCTGGACCAAACAGAAAAACCGAACGTTTTTTTGCCATTCCAAGCAAAAATAATGTAAAACATCACTGGTTAGCAGCAATAAAAATTAATCCTGACTTAATAACGGAGAATATCAAGGTAAGAATAATAAAAACTTACTAGTTGTAGTATCATATTAAATTTTGATTATAGTAGACTTACATAGATTTATGTTATAGGTATGTTCCTTGCACTTTAGAAAAGAGGATTGTTTTAATTTTTCGACAAAAGTGAAATTGAAGCCTGGAGTTATCCCCACTTTAAATTTAAATAATGTAGAAACAACAGAAAATATTCATATTGAAGATAATAAGAAAACGAAAAACTATCTTCAGTAGAAAACAAGCTAAAATAATTTCAACCTTTTGCATTGAAAAGTTCAGACAAAATGACAAAAAAATTTCATATTATACTGGATTTCCCAGTTGGAAGATATTTATTATAGCTTATAACTTTGTATTTAAATCAGAAAAGGGACCTGTTGGTGTCGTTCAACAGAGACAGGCTAAGGGAAACTTAAGGAAACATCATAAATTAACTCCTTTAAATGAATTTTTTCTAACTTTGATGAAAATAAGAAGAGGATTTGACTATGAAACATTAGCTGATATGTTCCAATTGTCAAAATCTGCAGTAGGGCGGATTTTTCTAGCATGGATAAATTTATTATATGAAAAATTGGCTGGTTTAAACATATTTCCCCATCGTGATGTGCTTTTAGATAAAGTCTCAGATGTATTTAAAAGGAAATATCCAAATGTAATAGGTAGCATAGATTGCACTGAATTTTTATTACAAACACCTTCTTCACTGGTACGACAATCCCAGTGTTATTCACAATATAAAGGATCAACAACTTTAAAAGCATTAATTATGATAAGTCCAAGTGGTGCAGTAATATTTGTATCTTCTCTTTATACAGGTTATAAGTTATTTTCATATCACTGGGGTTGAAATTTAATGAAATTTTTTTCAGGTTCCATATCCGATAAAAAAATCGTAGAAGAAAGTGGGTTTATCAATCTTTTAAAGAAAAAGGTAGAAATTGGAGAACTAAAAAGAGGTGATTTAATATTAGCAGACAAAGGATTTGATATTAAAACCATCCTAGAAGATGTGGGCATATCCCTTAATATACCAACTTTTCGTATATCTGGTATTCAGTTTCAGCCTAAAGAAATTGAATATATTAGACATATTGCTAGGGAAAGAATACATGTCGAAAGAGCAATCCGGAGGTTGAAATGTTTTAAAATTTTATCCAATAGAATTCCAATTTGTTTACTGGGTTCTATAAACCAAATTTTTACAGTCTGTTCTTTATTAACAAATTTTTTATATGAATTAAAGAAATAAATAAAGTTTTAATTTAATTCATGTTTATTTGCAATATACATATTATTTAAATTTTAGTTAATAAGAGTGAATATAAATTGTAGAAATATTAAAATGTTACTATTTAAGGACAAATTAGGACTACTATGTAGATAGGTGTCACACCAGCACACTTAAAAAATCAATATTTGTTGAAGGTCTAAAAAAGTATAGTTACCTTTTATTGTTAAAACATCACCTAATATTAGAGTCTTCAAAAAAAGATTAAGAACTATTTTCAAGTGTAAATTTTGTTTTCTATATTTACTTACATTAAGCATTTTTTGTAAATACCTTTCTTATTGTATATACTAGCATGTTTTTTGCTAAATAAAGAATTTATTTATCCATACAAATATTCACTGAGATAAAAAGAGTCAACACTTGAACATGGAAGGATGTGGATTTATTGTTAAAAAAACAAGCGTTTAAAAATTTAAATATATATTGTATAAGTCAGTTAATTTATCATACATATTAATACAAAATAATTCATTGAATTCAACCCGAATTATGTGGCATTCATTACTTTCTTTTAAATAAACACATAAATCGCACCACTTTAAACCTGTTATCAGCATACATCCTTGCACCTGATAAAAATAATTATGATTCTCTTTTAAACATAGTTTTTTATTCTCATCTTCCTTTAAGAAAAACGTTTTGGACTTTAAGGCTTCTTTTAAAGTATTATACTTTTTTGAATATGGACATTTTATTTCCAAAATGCCAAATTGTCCATTTTTGTCCTTAATAATGCCATCTGGACTAGCACCTAAATAGGGGGCATACGGATGAATAACCAAACCACAATCAAACACATCATGTTTAGTTATTGTTTTGTAAACATTTTTTTCATGTTCTTCATGTGTTTTGCCATGCTGTATTGCATTTACATTACTTAGGTCTCTGATTTCCCAAAGCTTGTTAAAATAATCTAAATCAATGGCCTTCTGTCTCTTGCATAAATTTCCAAAACAAGATGACGTAAAACGTTCACGTCTAAGCATGTGCCATTCATTGCAATTGCTCTGCAATTTGGTTCTTTCTTGTATTGAAGACGAATCTTCCATCGTAAATAAAAAAAAAGAATCCTTTCTTGGCAGTGGCTTGGATATTAAAATATTAATACACTCCATGTCCATGTCCATTTATTGGAACAATATCATCCTCTATTGCATTTAATTTCTGCATACCTAATGTTGTCATGCTTTCATCTAAAAAAAAAAATAAGATTTTTAATAATGCAGGTTACAAGAAAAAAATATGTAAACATGAAATATTCTAGGAAGTAAAACTTCTTCAAATATAATTAATTTACATTATATACAAAATTAAAGTAATTAAGAATTTAATATGTTTTATAATGGTATAATAAAGCTTATCATTACAGGGATTATCTCAAGAATACTAGGAACAGGTAAAAAGGGTGAATGATTGATATCTGATTGGTCATTTAACAGATTGTCTAAATTTTTAAATCTATTTAGGTATTTCATGTATCTCTAAATGGTTTAATTTAATGTCCTTGTTTTGTAAAATCTCACAATTTTCCTTATAAGAAATGTAGAATTTTTGTTTTTAATTAAACTGTTCTGAATGTAATTTATTTATTTATTTCCAATTTAATTTAATAATAAGATATAATTGGTGAATGACTGAAACAATCAAGAATATATAAAATATGTTATTTACCTCTGTTATCTAGATTAAGTATATAAGAAAATGGAATATTTTCATTGATTTTCTTGAGTTTGCTTTTTAATATCTTTATTTTCATTTCTCCAGAAACTTCCTTGCCAGCAAACGCTGTTTTTGGAGAAAATAAGTTTGGACAAACAGGTCTTTTCTTTCTATTTATGTTTGTGGGCTTCTGGAAAATTGTCTGCAAAACGCTTTCTGGGGCAATCTTTGAACCTCTCGGCTTATTCCATTCTATAGGTTTCGAAGTACATGATAATGATTCAGGAATTTCACTATCTCCACGAAGTATTTTATCTTGTAAATAAAATCCCAAACCAATAACGTGATGACAAGACTGTGATAACCTAAAATTATAAACAATAATTAACTACAAATATGGGTTGGGGTCTTGATGCTAGGACAGTTCGGATCATTATCTCGACCCTAGCGGAACCCTTATCCAAATATGTATAATCAGCGATAATTGGGCATTAAAAAGGTAATAAGTACTTACCCAACTTCACAAGAGCAGTGACATTCTTTTAAGTTTAAAAAATCATTTTCCTTCCTAAATTCGAGGACGAGATTATGAGGCTTCTCATTTCTCTTCTGGCTATGAAAACATTTCGCTTTCACGGAAGGTTCAGATTCATTTATCCACACATCGTGAATAAAACCTTCAACAAAAAACTTGTAGCCCCTAGAATGCTGCTGTTGGGTGGAACCATGTTCCTCGAAAAACTTTTGAGCATCGCCAAAATTAAAATGTCTAATACACTGTAGATTTTTTTGCCACATCTCCATAATAAAATAATCAAAATCAAAAACAAACAATCACTATCAAAGACGAGAACACAATGACATTTGCCGACTGTCATCCGTGTCATCAGCATTTGACACTCGGGGTAGGAAACATAACAATAACAATTTTTGGTTACTTTAAGAGGGGGTAAGATTCGCGCATGAGTAATAAAGACCATCAAAAAGGAGATAGGTCTATTGATAGAAATGGAAAGGTGAGAATATCAGCTTCACTTCGGTCTGGGTATTAATGTTAAAAAAATTAACAGCGGGGAACAAGAAGTATTAAAAAAAAAAGTCCGGTTTTCCCCGGTGTGATCAATTTTCCCGATTTCTGGAAAATGGAGCAACTTTATTAAAAAAAAAAAAAAAATTACTTTCAAAAAGTAGACACTCTAAGCTTTAAAATGGTGTGCATTGAATAACAATATAATGAAATATGAGTTTTTAATAACTGCTTGTTTCAAAGATTTCTAGAACTCCGAAAACTTATGAAAATGCAAATAAACAAATCAATTTTGTTTTAAAACGCCAGGAAGATACTGGAAAAAAATTTCTGAGATCATTCGAGACATCTCAAGATCCCATTTAAAACAAAAATGGGATAAAAAACTATTAAAAGAAAAAAAATATGAATGAATTACTATAAAGTGGTCCAAAATAGTAGGAAAACGCAACTTTGACCCCTTTTTCAATGTTCTTGACAGATAATAACGGGCTTCAAGGCACATGGATCGATACCTATGGGTTTCCCATTGTAATGAACTTTGAATCATCGAAAAATATCAATTTCCGACCGAGTTCTGAAACAATTTGTCCACCCGTTTACAAGCTAATCAGCATTGCTATAGAGAGGCTGAACGAGGGACTTTGATTGCGGTTATCTCGAAACCTGTCGAATTCCCGACAAAAATGATAGGGACCATTTTTGTAGATAATGATAAGATTTCTTTTTTATCTAAACAAAAATTCTCTAATTTGCATATTGTGGAAGATATTGGCGGGAAGCCAGTTTTAGGGTCCATTTCCGACGCAGCAGAGTTGGTAAAAGTTTTCGACCTTGGAAGCGACCGCCGAGACCTAAGAGTTGAGCCACAACGGAAATCTGGACCGACTTAATGACAGGTTGGTCCCTTCAGTTACTGGACTAAATTGTCGATTTTGTTTTACAAATTTCTGAAAAATTTAACTCTTTTTCGTGGAAACATAATTTACCATCTCAAAACCGTTTTTAATGTGATGTTCACTTTAGATCCATATTTTGAGTAGATCAATCCGTCTCTTAGATAAATACTTCTTAGAATATCCTTCCATTTCCCTCTGTAATGTAATTTTTCTTTCTCTGTGTGGTTCTTTCACTTCCTTCAGTTATCCCGATCTGGGTTTTCCACGTCTCCTTCCTCTTAGATCCCATTGTAACATTGAACTCTCCCATCTAATTTTCTATCACTTTGTAGCATGTTTTATTATTTGTATACTGTACTATTATTTTAGGGCATGCGGCAGTTAAGGATGCACATGTTGGCCGCCAGGGGTTACTGCGTGGTAGCTATAGATTCAAGAGGGTCCCAACACAGGGGCTTGCAATTCGAAAGTTACATCAAAAGACGGATGGGCACTGTAGAATTGAAGGATCAGATAGAAGTATTGAAATGGTTGTCGGAATCGCTGCATTATATCGATTTGGGTCGAATCGCCATACACGGTTGGTCGTATGGTAAGTAAATAATTAATTGGGTAAATATTGTATCTGTCTATTCGTTGTCAAAAAATACGGAATTTATAAATGTATTTTTTGTTGGTACTTAGGCGGCTACCTGAGCCTTATGGGGCTGATAAACCATCCGGACGTTTTTAAAATAGCAATAGCCGGAGCTCCGGTAACGAATTGGAGCCTCTATGACACTGGCTACACGGAACGATACATGGACTTACCGGAACACAACCCCGAAGGTTATTACGAAGGCAACGTTTTGAATTACATTAACAAATTTCCCGAAGAGTAAGTTGTCGATAGAATTAGAAACGTCGTTCCTATTTGTATATATATATTTTTTTTTAGAGAAAATCGACTGTTGATCATCCACGGGTTGATAGATGAGAACGTGCACTTCTATCATACGAGTCAGTTGATCAATAGTTTGATAAAAGCCGGTAAACCGTACCAGTTGCAGATTTATCCTAACGAAAGACATTCATTGCGGCATTTGGACGCCAGCAAGCATTACGAAACCACTTTGCTGTCCTTCTTACAAAACCATTTGTAATTATAGAGGAAACTACGAAACTGTAAATGAAAATTTATTTTACTTATCTAACGCAGTATCTCCGGTTTTTCTCTTCTAATGATTACATTTTCTAAGAAATCCGTTTGTAACTAGTTACCCGCCTTACGTGCTTTTAGTAATTCGGAAAAATACGTTCGAATTTTAACGAATATTCAGTATTCTGGTTTTCGAAGCCTTTTTAGCAATATTAGGAAATTTTTAGAGCCGATTTAGATTATCCTGAAACCGTTTGTAAAATTGAAACGATTTCTTGCAGTATTTCTAAAAAACCGTTTGTAATTCGTGTTCGTCGAAAAATTGCGTTGAATAAGTCTCAACCGTTTATAACGAATTTTATTTTTACAAAAATCGTTTGTATGAGAGACTGATTTTCGAAATTCGTTTTGTAACATTTTGTAGCGATATTGAGTTTTTTAGGGAATCGTCTATTTATAATATAATTAATGAGTGGATTACAAAATTAATTGTAGGAAACTCTAGATGACGTGTAAACATTTTATTGCCAAATTAATTTCTTCGCAAAAACAGTTCGTAAGATATTTTACGATTAAAAACTTTTAGAAATCTATTTTTGCTGGTTAAAAGGTAAAATAAATTTTGATATCCAAGTGATACGAATTTTATCGGAAATAATTCTACATTAATTCAATTTACAGTGAGACTTCACACTACTTTATATTATTAATTTACATTTGGCGCTCAACGTGGGGCTTCAATAAAAAAGTTTTACTTATAGTGCAAAATTTTTGAGTCTCCCTGTATAACTTTTCTAAAATAGACTATCGGAAAGTACTTATATTTTTTTTGTACGAAAAATGTATTAGTAAGTGTCAAAGACCTTTTTTGTACTGAAACCCAAATAAATTTGCGTAAGTATTAAATGAATTGATACAGAATGTTTATATAAATGTATAAGTATAACCGTAACAGCATTGTTGTACTTTTTCGATGTTTAAAAATGTTAATTTTTTTCTTTTTCGAAAAACGATTCTCAACAGAAAATCACATTGTTAATTTAATTATTACATGGTGTTTTGGAATAGCGTGACTCTAACGGTTAAAAAAACTATTATTTTTATTTAATAACGTAATTATAATCTGTTTGGGCTAACAGTTTTCTATCTTGGTTTGTTTCATTAATATACACAATTGGCGGAGTAAAATCGGATTGTTTTTCAGTTGTTTAACTTTTCTGGTTAGAATTTTAATTTCTTTTATTGTTCTACTTTTTCCTTCTTCTAATTGTACTATGTCCCGTATCATGTTACACATATTTACTTACATCCCAAGTAGTTGCCGTTTCAAACTGTTTTGTTGTTTTTTAAATTTCAATACTGGTTAATCCCGTTTTAATTTGAATTTAGCACTCTTGGGCGCCCAACGTGGGGCACTTTACAATTTTGTGGAATAGGTAAATAAAGGTCTATTCCAACACGCGAGAAAACCGTAATATTACCGTACAAATCATGCGCTCTACGCAAAAATTGTACACAGCGCATGATTTGTACGGTAATATTACGGTTTTCGTACGTGTTGAAACAAATCTTAAATATCCGTGTACTCGATATTGGTAATAAATATGCATTTTTTGACAGTTTTTCGGAGACACGCTACTCCCGGTGTTTGCAGGCATTGTCGGATGCTAATTGGTTGATTAATTACGCGCTTCTATTTTTTATCAAATAACCCTGGATATATTAATAAAAAATAATTATATATATTGTTCATGCAATTTATTATTGTACATACATTTTTTTTTTAATGAAACTTTTATTGTACTGTATGATATAGTTAAGTTATTTATATGAAATTTCTAATAAAGTGATTGTTTTTATTTTCGAGTTTTACTCAGATCTGGAGATGCGATGCGAAGGTAAGTTTGAATTTGATTTCTTCGTGTTATTAATTCTACCTTTATTGAAGCAACTTTCTTTAATGGGATTAGACCAGCATTTCCTAATTGGATTGTTAATAATATTGTTTCAATTTTGAAGTTTTGTTTTATTCAAATCGGTCCAATTCTAGTTCAGGCCTCGGTTAAAATTCGATACAAGTAGCATAAGTTTTACGTTCTGGGTTATTAAGGACTAATCAATTGAACGCTGTTCCTTTATCACACTTATATTTCGGCACTTATACAACTTTAATATTCCCGACATTTAGAGACGTTTATCAATACATGTTATCATCTTGCCAGCCGGAGTCAGAGAGAGCGTCCTATTCCCTTGCCTCGTTTAACCGAATCTCTGCGCATGTGCGCTTACTGAGTCTACAGTACTTTTGAACTACTATATGTCCTTTTACTACTTAACATCCCCCTTATTAAAATTAATACATAATTTGTTTACTAACTGTAAATCCTATACTTGAGCTTTTAGAATTTAAAATTACACAATTCAACTAATTTTAAATTTACTTTAAAATTAAGTTTTATTTTATTTTTTTTTTTTAACACAAACGAGAAAAAAAAAACAATATGTTTACATAAATGGTTCCTACTCACATGTATCTACTATGCTAAACTCTGACTGGCTTCTAACTATTGTAGTAATTTATTTTATTTTTACAAGCCATCATCTAAAATATAGTCTTTATATTTGACTAGTATTTTTGATAGCCTTTTCGTTTTTCTCTCTCTTCCGGTGCCTCTGGTCCTCTTGTTTGTTTTTCAGGTGGTGTGTCTACTTTTGAAGATATCCCTGGTTTTGTAACCTCTGGATATTGACTTGGATCTGCCTGTTCTGTCGGTTCCTTGCCTCGAATTTGGTCTGGTCCTATTGGCTGGACAGGAATGCTATGGGAAAAACAGTGCGTACCCAGACAACACACCAACTCCCAGAGATATCCACAGAATATCTTTTGTGGATATCCAATATATACACAGGATATCAGAAATATTCCGTGGATCTAATATGGATATCCAAATGTCCGTCTATATCCAGAATATAGAAGATATCCTGTGGATTATCCAGCAAAATATCTAATGGGTATCTTCCAGATAATTCGAGAAATCCCAGAGGTATCCACAGAATATATTTTGTGGATATCCAATATGGATATCCAACCAAATGTCCGTCTATATCTCAGGATATAGAAGAATTCGGATATTCAGCAAAATATTTTATGGGTATCTTTAGTAGAGGCATAGGATAAAGAACAATACAGAAAAGAAACATAGGCCTAAAACAGGAACCTAGCAACCGAAGCCACACCTTTTTCATGGTGGAGCATTGTCAAAATTGAACCGTAGATTTGTTACTTGTTCGTGCAACAGTGCACACTTTTATAGCAGATGAACGAAGCTGTCACTGCTTTCGCTGTTAGAAAATCAATATTTTTTTTCTGTCGTGTCTATATTTGTCGTTTTGGATTTTTGGTTGTTTTTAGCGAATATTCTGATAACTTTTACGTTTTTTTAGTTATTTTTAGTTTTTGTTGATGTTTTTAATTGTGGAAATGTTAATTTAAGACTTTATTGTACGTATTAAGATTAGGTTTATAAACAATGTCGCGTCAAAGAGGAGGAGGATATACTTGTATTTATCGTGGATGCACCTCAAGAACAGGTGGCAAAGAAGGATTGTTCACTCTTGTGAAAGATCCAGTGAGGTAGGTATGAAACCTTGAGGGTGAAATAGGAATTGACCTTGACATAACATGATAGTACAATGAGTGTATTTTTCAGACTTGAATTGTGGCTTAAGGAAGCAAATAGAGAAAACGTATTGGGAAAAGGTGTTGAACACTTAAGTAAAAATTACAAAATTTGTGAACTACACTTCCAGGATAAATTCGTTTATCAGTCAGGAACAAGAAAACGATTATTTGCAAATGCTTTCCCAACAGTATTTCCCCATTCAGAACTTACGAAAAGTGTCACAGTTTTGTAAGGTAAATATATACAATTTATAGTTAAATGTTACAAAAAGTTTGCTACTCGTCTTTTCATTTTTTTACATTACATTTAATAGTTTAAAAATAAAATGATAAGTACTAATAATGTTAGAATATCAACATGTCGACATACAACAACTTAGGCAAATTAAAATAAAGTAGTTTTAGTAGTTAGGTTAGTAAAAAATATAAATATTGTGACAATAAATGGGTGTCTAAATGCATATCCAGTTGAAATTTAATAATTTAACAACATTCAATCTGCTCTACTAAAAAGTTGACTAGAATGACAGTGCAGTTTACCTCCTAGGCACAGAAATATATTCACATTTTATAAAATTATTTTAAATTTTATCTGGCTAAAAAGTGTGACTCAAACATTTAATTCTGACAAATGATGCAACACTAGTTGATCTGATAAAAATTTAGTTTCTTTGTTTTTTTTTAGAGGAATTTGTGTAGACAACTTGTGTCTACCCTCAACTTCAGCAGAAGCAGTATTTATTGAACAAGTGCATAGTCAACCATCTGTTTCTCTACCTTGTGTAACAGCACAAATTCAAACGAGTAATTTGTTATCATCAAACACTCCAAGAAAGCAGAGACTGCAACTGAAGATAGCAACGTTGAGAAAACGTTTGCTTGGTGCAAAAAGAAGAAAAATTGTTTAATATTTTTTATAAGTACCGTTTATATAATTATTCTATATTTTTGTTGTATATTAGGATATAGCTATTTTAATAAAGCTACTTATCTATGTATGATAAATTAGGATTGCTCTATAAAAATGTGTAAACAATTTTAATTGCATAAATACACGTTTTTTATTTTTCTTTTTTTTTTATTCATAAAATCCCTAAAATACGCTTTAGCTAATGATTTTCTAACAATTATCCCAATTGAATTATTATTATGTATCATAAATGACTAGTGAGATTTGTGGCACAATATTAATAGTTCATTATGACAAGGTAAAATAAACTTGTTTAAAACTTTATAATTTTTATTTTTGAAACCTCTGTCGGAAGTGCTACAAATTAAAAAATAATTTACTTAAATCGAGAATAGTTTCAAATGCATTCATGCAAATTTCATAAAATATGACACATAATTATGTAAAAGAGAAAAGTAGTTTTCGCAGTGTAGGTTCAGTGAATAGCTACGTTCGCGTGTACTGTGAATAATTACGTTTTCTCAGAGTATCTCTGTGGTGAAACTCAAGGTCAAATATTTATATCCCATCAACTTCAAAGTTCCGACCATTACTTTCTTTTCTGTATTGTTCTTTCTTCTGTGGTTCATAAAAGTAACCAATGCTTATTGAATAACGTCGAAAGAAAATAGCAGAGAAAAAATATTTTTATCACTCAAAATATTTTCAACACTGCCTTTGATTTTGCCCACTAAGGAGAAAGTCATCCTTATTAGGACCCTTCAGCAATAAATGGAAATTCTCGACTCCAGTTTCTAATGGAGTCTGATTGGGAAACAAATTTCGATCGAACTCAATTACGGCGGGTTAAGCATGAGTAGATGCGAAAGTGGTATCGCCACCTATACTTAGTAAGCAAAATCAAAAATTACATCTAGTGGATATCCACGATGGTTTGCGTTCGTGCCTAGACTTTGATTATTTAGTGGATGTCCATGGGATATTGAATACACCTTAAAAAAATAATTTTAAGTATCTGAACGATACTATTAGCCACAATGGTGTAATTTTTTAATAATTTGCTATATAATTACTATTATTTATGGACATTTGCATGTCTATAAATTACATCTCATGGATATATAATAGATATCCACCATGAACTGGACATTCAGTGGATATTGGAATGTTCAGTAGATATCCAAAGGATTTGGTGTGCTGTCTGGGTGTGTGCTTTGCGAAGATGTTCCTCCACTTTCCTCAGTGTCATTGTCCGAACACGACACAAAAGTTTCACTTTCATTTAAAAGTTCAACCGATTCTCTTAAAATTACACATGTAGGGTTACTACTTACATTCTGACTGGTATTTGTTTGCTCTTCGGCTTGGAACCTCACCTTACTTTACCTTTTTCTTTTCAGCTACCTTGCGTGAAATCATTTGATTTATATGTCTTTTCCAGGTTGCCTCTGTCTCAGAGACTGTGCATAAATATGTCGATTTTCCAATCCTCCTTAATATCTTTGCTTCTGTCCAGGTTACTCCATTTCTTCCCCTGTAGTCTCTTACCATGACCTCCTCCCCCACTTTAAATTCTTTTACTTTTCCTTTGTTCAGTTCTTCAATTTGCCTATGAGATTCCTCTATGTTTCTTGTTATATTAGTGGGTTCGGTCTCCTGTTCAGGAAATTTACTGTATGCATCAATAATTATTAAAAACATGGTACCTTTTATTGGCCCCAGGAAATCTGCGTGTACTCGTCTCCAAAATTCTTTTTCTGCTGGTTGCTTTGGGTGGATCTACTCTTTGATGTAGGCAAGGAATACACGCTTCTATCAAATTCTCGATATCCATGTCTGGCTTGGGCCATCACAGATAGCTTCTAGCTAAAGATCAATAATATTAAATGGGACCTTATATCAAGTGACACTTCGTTTGAAAGGTATTTAGAATACCTATTCAATCATACTATTTTTTTGGATTTACAATTTGATGGTTAAAATAAGGTCCCATTTAATATTATTTGTTTCAGTAGCCTGGTGACGTCACCGATGCCTATTACGTCACCGGTTACCACTAGTAGAGAGGCTTACATTAATTCATTTTCACCCTCCGAATTTCATCAGTACAAGTATCACTGTTCA